AACTTAAAACTAAAAGCACGCATCTCACGATGTCCCTGCGAGATCCCTCGTCGTCCATCGGTGGCCCAATAGTTTACTTATCAACTAAGTGTACCTACAGTTCAGTTTAGATCGTGAAATAAAGAATGAATAGAAATTTTCACGATCTAAACTGAACTGTAGATTGCGTAGTTCTTAGCTTGATATCGTTTCACAAACATTAAAGTTTGTAAAACTTTAATGTTTGTTAAAAGATATCAATTACCAGGTCTCACCACGAGGAGGTCACTACGCAAGAGACCCGCCCCGGGCCCTATTCCCAACCACCCTCCATTACATGCAAACAACTCGGCATTCTTAAGGAATGCAGAGATTTTATTCTACTTGGCCGGGCGTTACGAACAAAGGAGACAGATGTTCAATAGTGCAAGTCTCAAACTTAAGTCTACATCTTAACTCTAAATCGCATGTATGAGATTGAACTATGGAACTCTGTCTCCCGAACGATCGCGTTAACAACCATACAATCATACATTACATACATTACATACGTTACATACGTTACATACATTGCGTACAGTCATGCATCATAGTCACATACATTACATAAAATCATACATTCCATACATTACATACATTCCATACAAATGCGAGTCATACAATATGTCGCAATCACTCGCTGCCTTTCATACTAACCACACACTCACCTATCATGAAAGTTACACAACAATTGTACAATAATTCGCAGCCCTAACATCGCATNTCTCAAACTTAAGTCTAAATCTTAACTCTAAAGCGCATGTATAAGATTGAACTATGGAACTCTGTCTCCCGAACAACGATCGCGGTAACAATCATACAATACATACAATCATACAATCCATACATTACATACGATTAATCATACATTACATACATTGCGTACAGTCATGCATCACATACATTACATACAATCATACATTCCATACATTCCATACATTCCATACGAATGCGAGTCATACAGTATGTCGCAATCACTCGCAGCCTTTCATACTACCCACACACTCGTCTAACATAAAAGTCACACAATAATTGTACAATAATTCGCAGCCCTATCAGCGCATTTTGTGTCAATGACACGTTTATTAAACTTTGAATGAAATTAGGGAAACGAAACTATTGACACGCTTCAATATCGTGCCTTGTCAAAGATATAACGCGAAATGAAACCGCGATTTGTCAGTGTGCCAAATCGGATTCCGAGCACTTAGAGGCAAGTAGTTTCGCGCTACCCCCAACGACACAGTGGGGTTCCGAAGAACCACTGGAGCCGGATTACAAAGGACGCTAGACTACAAGAACCTACCTCGTCCTTTCGGACGTGGTTGCAGTTCACCGACTTGTCACACTGGACAACGAAAGTTGGAACACTCTACTCTAGTGCAATGACAGTAACAAATGTCACTCTACTCTTGTGCAACGACAATAACTAAAGTAACTCTACTCTAGTAGTACAAACTCTGCTCTAGTGCAATGACAGTAACAAATGTATCTCTACTCTTGTGCAATGAGAGTAACTCTACTGTAGCGCAATGACAGTAACAAAACTATCTCTGCTCTAGTGCAATAACAGTAACAATAGTAACAACGAACGAAAAAGAGAAGAGTGGAGGTGTCTCAAGTTTAATAAACGTGTCTTTGTACAGAATGCGCTCACAGTGAATTTACAAATAATAACTATCTTATAATTAACTAAAACTAAACGCACGCAACTTAATATTAAGACGCACGCTTCCCACGATGTCCCCTCGAGATCCCTCGTCGTCCCAGATATTAACTATCTTGTAATTAACTAAAACTATACGCACGCAACTTAAAACTAAGACGCACGCACGCATCCCACGATGTCCTTGCGATATCCCTCGTCGTCCACCGCTGGGGGCCCAATAGTTTACTTATCAACTAATTGTATCTACAGTTCAGTTTAGATTATGAAATAAAGAATGAACCGAAATTTTTTCACGATCTAAACTGAACTTGCGTAGTTCTTAGCTTGATACTCGTGTCACAAACATTAAAGTTTATCGTTTACCGTTTTACACTTTAGCTTGATAACGTTTTACAAACATTAAACTTTAATGTTTGTAAAACGATATCAATTACCAAGACCCACCACGTGGAGGTGACTACGCACGGGTCTCATTATAATGTATTGTAAATCAGTACTGTTTCATATATTTCTCATACGAGTTTCAACTTGTATTGAATTTAAGTAAAGAATTCGTAAAATAAGGCATAATTGTTTGATGGATACAGTGTCTATTTAAAATATTGAAGAATTATCCTTGTTTGAATAATAGTAAAGGACTATTCTAATTAATAGTAAAGAACTAAATTATTTTCCAAATTTTAGATTCAAAGAGAAATTCTGATAACGTATTTCACGGTAATTGTTAATGAATGGTAACTAATAAAGTATATCTTGTACGACTACGATATAAGTCATGGAAATTGAACTCGTATTCAAGTTCAACTAATCATGATCAAGTATTATCCCAACACCAAAGAAACCAAACCATGTGACTTACCAATCGTTGAAGTCGGAATTGTAGATTGAGGTTTGGTTGCAGACATATTATTTAAAATTTTTCTGCTAAATGAAGTCGATGTGCACACGACGGAAGTTCAATTGGTAATGAATCTCCGTACCGCTGAAGGTTAATCTGATGTTCCGATCGTCAGTGACCCGGAACTGTTGATAATTTTTTCTTTTATTATTTCGAAACCGTTCTTCTATTATACTAATCAATAGTTTTTAGATTTCTATCGCAAGGTTACATTTTCATAAATATGTTACAATGTCAAATGTAATAATTTTTGATGTATATTCAATAGAAATTTATGTAGAGAAAAATTATGTAGTCAAAAATCGAGTTAAGCAGTGATCGTTGCTTCAGAATAACATATAAGCAAAAATTTTTTCTCGTTTATTGTTTCAGACAGCAAGAAATATATGTGTTGTTATGTAGCTATCTTTTCCGTTATTCTAAATAAAATAATTGAATTACTATAAGTGAATTATTAAAATTATGAAATAATGCTTAGGAATTCAATCATTGATTTAATTGTTATAAGTAAATATTTAAAATTGTTAATATACAAAAATATCATCGAAATGCATTATTTTTACAGTTTCAATAATTCATTTGAAATGAATTATTTTATTTCTACAATATTTCTAGACATCATTTAATAATTTTCACAACTTTTATATTACGATTAAACAATTAAATTAATTATTCGATAATTCAAAGTCATTTCTCTTAAGTACACCGTTCAAGATTGTTATAAATTATTATTTAAAAATTTTAAATAACATTTAGAAACATTACAGAAGAGAATTTATTGTTTAGTTGTTACAAATAAATTATTAAAAATGTTAGATAATATTTAAACAATTAGAATATTTAGAAATATTATTTAAAACTCACTCCTAAATGTTGGTCGATATGCACACGACGGAAGTTCAATTGATAATGAGTCTTCGTACCGCTGAAGGTTAATATTTGTATATTTCGGTCGTCAATGATCCAAAACAGTTGATAATTTTTTTCAAACTCCTAAAATTTGGTCGATGTGTACGGGGGAAATTTATTTGTTAATGAGCCTCTGTACCGTTCAAGGTTAATATATATTTCGGTCGTCAGTGATCCAGAACAGTTGATAATTTTTTTCATACTTCTAAATTTTGTCGATGTGCCCAAGACAAAAGTTCAATTCGTAATGGCATCTTGTCTCCGTATCGATTAATCTGATCTTTCGGTCGATGCGATACAGATGATGAAAATTTTTTAGAAATGTATTAGTGACTCGATTACTACGAAATGATTAATTAAAAAATTTAAATAGAACTTAGAAATGTTATAGAAGAGAGTTTATTGTTTAATTGTCACAAATAAATTATTGGAAATGTTAAATAATATTTAAACAATTAGAATATTCAAAAATATTATTTAAAAGTCACTCTTAAATTTGGGTCGATGTGCACACAACGAAAGTTCAATTGGTAATGAATCTCCGTACCGCTGAAGGTTAATCTGATGTTCCGATCGTCAGTGACCCGGAACTGTTGATAATTTCCTTTTAGTTTTTCGAAACCGTTCTTCTATTATACTAATCAATAGTTTTTAGATTTCTATCGCAAGGTTACACTTTCATAAATTTGTTACAATGTCAAATGTAATAATTTATTAATTTTTTCATCTATAACTGGCTAAAACTAAATTTACACTTTCGTGATATTAATTTTCAAGTTATAACTGCATTTATGTATATTCAATAGAAATTTATGTAGTCAAAAATCGAGTTAAGCAGTGATCGTTGCTTCATAATAACATATAAACGCAACATGTAAAAATTTTCGCTCGTTTATTGTTTCAGACAGCAAGGAATGTATGTATTATGTAACTATCTTTTCCGTTATTGCAAATAAAATAATTTAATTATTGTAAATGAAATTAGTAAAAATTCCAACGTAATGAATTATTAAAATAATTGGAGAACTTAGAATAGCTTCGTCGAAATTCCACGCTTATGAATTCCAACTTGACAAATTAATAAAATTAATAGAATAAGTACAAAATAAAATTCCAATTTAATAAATCAGTGAAATTAATAAAAATTCCAACGCAATTATTAAAATAATTCGAAACTTAAACTACCTTTACAAAAATTCGTCGCTTATAAATTCCAACTTTACAAATTAATAAAATTAATAGAATAAGTACAAAATAAAATTCCAACTTAACAAATCAGTGAAATTAATAAAAATTCCAACGTGACGAATTAATAAATAAAATAATTAATAAATAAAATGATTGGAGAACTTAAACTACCTTCGCAAAAATTCCTCGCTTATGAATTTTCTCTTTCTCTTTCTGTCTGAACAAAAACATAAAGAGGAAAAGACAAATTAAAAAGCAGATCTCGTTCTTTCGATCATTTTCTTTGTTCGCAGGGGACTGTAGTTCCTCTAATTGATAATGCCGGCGTACGTCCGATACAGCTTCAGATATTGTTCCCGCGGAGCAATTTGTACTTACGTGGATGGAACGCAATCCTCCGCTGTGCGAAAAGCAATTTGATTTATTGCCGTGCATACGCATCAGCGGGCAACTTCTTATTGTTAGACATTTTACATGGCTCGCATGACTCACGCGTGAATTATACTTCCTCGTTGCCGCTGTATCGCTGTATAAATTACGCATGGAAAAAATCGCGGGTCGTTTCTTCTTCCTCTTCTTCTTCTTCCCTCTTATCATTTTTCTTTCCATTCTTCTTCTCCTTCCATTTTTTCTTCTTTTTTTTTTTCTCTTCGAACGACTCTTCTCAATCTTCTCCGCGTAATAATCGTTCACTTCCGTGCAGTGTAGAAAGTTGACGACGAGTAATTGCGTTACGCTAACATCATCGAACGAGTGATTTATCGAGGCTTGTAAAAGTCACGAAGAACTGTCTTAAACGTTTGATTCATTTGATACTTATTATTATTGTTATTGATGCTTCAGTTGACACGATGATTGCTCGTTGGAAGAAATGAACTTATTATTATAAATAAATATAAATATATAATATATAAATAAACATATAATATATAATATGTAAATAAATATAAATATATAGTATACAAATAAATACAAATATATAATATATAAATAAATATATATATAATATACAAATAAGTATAAATAAATATATAAATAAATATAAATAACATATAAATTACTATTATAATTAAATGTATTTATGTATTAACTTCTCGCGTTGAAAGACAATCGAATTTGAAAGATCATTCGGAGAATTTCTTTGAAAATTCTGTGAAATTCTAAAATTTTTGAAATTGATAGCTGTAGCATGGTTCCAGGTTGAAAGACGCATTAACTCATTAAAGATCAAGATTACGTTCTTGCATAATTCTTGTCAATCATTTCATACTGTCAAATTTCATTTTTCCTTTCAATCGAAGCTACGGAAAGAGATCCAAAAATTTTTTTCATCATAAATGTCTTCCACTTGTGTTTGTAGAATTATGATAAATTATTGCTCATTATAACTTAAAGTATTTATAATACTATGACGCATTGTCGCTTCATCTTCAATGAGTTAAAAGGAAGTGACTAACAAGAGATTAATTTTACAAAATTCTAAGAAATCGAACTTATTTACGATATTATGATAAATTATTGCTTCATCCTCAATGAAGATTGAAAGAACTGGATAATGATTCTGTATTAGGTATCGTTTCATGAAATTTCAATAAATTGAAGTATTCTGTGAAATATTGTAACAAATTATTGCTTATAGCTTTCAACGGGTTAGAAAAAATGAATAATGATTCTATATTGGAATCATTTTACAAAATTTCAAGAAATCGAAATATTCGTAATATTAAAATACATTATTTTTATCGTAACGTATTATGATTTCTTTTTTTCGTTCATTTTTAAAAGGAGCGAACAACGATTCACTATTGGAACAAAATCAATAGATTCCAGTTGCAATTATAGCGCGTTCACTCTGAAAATTGACAACACGATCACGACAGGCGACAGGTGATTTAATAACAAATTCTTTTGTGTATTTAGGCCAGGATCGAACGATGCTCCCTGCAGAATCAAACCGGATAGACCTTGCCCTCCAAGCAAATACAGGACGCCTTCCGGTGCCTGCAATAACGTACGACATCCGGTTTGGGGTGCTCGTGGTGCACCCTTCTTGAAATTATTGCCATCGGCGTACTCTGACGGTAAGTGATTGTCAGATTGTCGATTTCCACGTATCTGTCAGATTATTTCTACAAATTTATAAATTTTCACATATTGATAGCGTAAGAAGAAAAGAACAACAAAATCTAAGTTTGCGAATTTTGTTTCAAACGAAAAGTTGCAGGCTTTCGATATCATCATTGACTTTCAATTTTCTTTTCAAATCGAAATATTGCAAAATAGTCAAAATGAACATTTCTTTCGTACGTATTCGCAGTATTGAAAAAGTTCGACAGTGCAAGTTATGCAAAAAGAAAAAAAAAAAAAACAATTGCATTCGAAGATCAAAGTTACAAGAATGATGGGGATCATTGGCCTTCTTTTTCTGAGTTATAAAAATTTTCCCAGAAAATAAGAAAATTTATTTATCCGGTCATTGACCTAATTTGAACTTTCGCGGAATTCGGATGATCGGTCAGAAGATCGTGCGATTTTATTTTCAAGGTGTTGCAATTTTTTTTTCGATGAAATTTGGAAAGAAAAGGGAAAAGAAAATCGGCGAGTAAAACGCTGCCGCGTCAACTCAATGTGGACGTCGGTAGACCTTACAGTGTATTGAAAATCGGCGTGTAATTAGCGTTGTTTTATAACTCGCGAAGATTCTTCGACGACGGCCGGTCTTAGATGATCTTTCGACGATCCATTACGCGCCACTTCCCGTATCCGCGAATGGAAAGTGAAAATTGGAACGAGCTAGACTCGAACGAGCTGAGAGATCCATTTCGAAGAGCGGTTGGCACGCTCGCGAGGATTAGAAACGGCGAATTAGCATTCTAGAAGGAAGCTTCGGCCAAGCCAACGAAATAGAGAGTCCCTCGGCGTCTATCGGTTGCGCCATCGTCCGCGCGAATAATAAACGATTCCACACAGTCTTTCGCCGGTCGTTCTCTGTTACGCGTCCACTAAGCAAACCAGACATTTCAGGTCGACAACTTCTTTTCTGCGCCCGGGCGAAATGCACAATATTCGAATTCGACGGGAAAATTTTTCCTCGATTTTTACTCGACACAGCCCCGACACAGAAATCTTGGAACAAGTACTACATTTGTAATAAAAATAGTAGAATAAATCTAAATTATAAATTTTATATATATATGCAATTAATTATAAATTAAATTATAAATTATATATATGTACAATTAATTATAAATTAAATTGTAAATTTTATATATATACAATTAATTATAAATTAAATTATAAATTATATATATATATATACAATTAATTATAAATTAAATTATAAATTTTATATATATACAATTAATTATAAATTAAATTATAAATTATATATATATATACAATTAATTATAAATTAAATTATAAATTATATATATATACAATTAATTATAAATTAAATTATAAATTTTATATATATATATAATTAATTATAAATTAAATTACAAATTATAAATTACATATATAAATACGACGCTTGAAATGCGTGTACGTGTTTTATATAATACAATTGTCAGTATATTAATACTTTAGAGATTCTTTGTTGCATAAAGTGCATAGATATTACAAATGATATGTATGTATTTTCTCAATTTTGAAACAGATATTGCAAATAATATGTATTTTATTACAAGTAATATATAAATATTACAAATAACGTGTATTTTAAATATATTTATAATAATTTTTTACATATATTTATAATAATATTTATATATATTTTGTATATAAATATTACAAATAATCTGTAGATTTATAATATTATATATAGTATATTTATATATAATAATATTTATATATATTTTATATATAAATATTACAAACTTATAATAATAACATTTATATATATTTTATATAAAAATATTACAAACTTATAATAATAACATTTATATATATTTTATATAAAAATATTACAAATAATCTGTCATACATATTGTCACATATATTGTAACACCGTACACCGACAGTATCAAAAATTAATCTACACGTCACATCCAGTCAAATCCCTTAAAATCAATTAGATCACTCCACATGTGTAACGACGACTTGCTCCACGACGAGAGCATTCACGTCGATGCTTCAACGACGCTTCAACAAACGAGGAATTGAACAAACAGAATTAAAACCCGGTGTCAATTAAAACCTGAACAATGTACAAACGTTTTCATCGGTAGTCTGGTTTCAGAGGAAGGCGTGGGACAGCTGGCGCCTCTGTCCAAGAAGGGAAGGAAAAAAAAAAATGCAAACGAAAATATGAAAGTGAAAAGAGCGAAGAAAGTGACTCAGGTGTTCTGGCCAGTGGTTGCCAGCGTCTGCATTTCGACAGCGTTGACCCAAAATACATACCTGGCCGATCGTCATCGAAGAGTTACGTGCTTCCACGTAGTAGTTCGCGTTCGATCGAAAGTCTCTCTCTCTCTCTCTCTCTCTCTCTCTCTCTCTCTCTCTTGCCTGGTTAAACTGACTAGAATAGCAATCGACCGAGGAATTCAGTGTACGACGTAACACCTTCACTCGAATGAGTTAATGGACAGAGGATGGTGATGAATGCTTGTCAAAACGCGAGGAATTTGCTTCCCGGGAAACTGCTTTCGTGAGGTTTCTACATCTAACCTCGTTGAAAGTTCACAATAGACCGTTGGATCTACGAGGCCGCGAATATTCATGCACAATTTTGTCTTATTTGTGCGAGGCTCAGCGCAAAGATTTATTTCAGCTTATTATCACTTCGTAACTAGCACTGTTCCATTCATCTTTGCCATTGTTCTTGAAAACTTGTGTACGATGAAATGTCTTCTTTCAAAAGTATTCGAGAACGCTCTCTGTAGAAGGCACCGATTATTTCTTACTGTTTCTTCTTCTACTTTTTTACGGAATATTCCAGGTCATCGATGATCGACGTGACTTTTCAAACAGTGTTACTGGCAGTTGAAAGATCGCTTTAACCGCTTGCGCTTGGCAACTGATTGCGGACCATAACGAGCGGCCGAACCGTATAATAATCGTGTAATTATTAATATAAATTATTAATAATTTAATTATTAATAATATAAATTATTAATAATTATTACAATAATTAATATAAATATTGTATAATAATTCGTCGCTTTCTTTTTGAACTCGTCGGTACGATATCACTGGATAGAAATGATTGAGAAGTAACAAATTTATTATCTGTTTTGACTATTTTGTTATAGTTAAAACTGAGGAAATATTGCATAATTTTGGAACAAAAAATTCTCGACGCGCGTGGCACGTCATTCCAGTGGAAGGTTAGCAACTGAGAATACAAAATGTTTTCTGCTTTCTTATTCTCTTCATTTCTCATTCTAAATCAGCGTCGCCATTAACTCGTTTTTTTAAATATTCGCGCGTAACATAAACATATTACGAGATTTGACAATAACTATTTATTTTAATTAACGCATAACAAGATTTTTATGACGACCGATTTTTGCTTCGATTGATTATTAACCACTCGCGCTTGGCAACTGATTGCGGACCATAACGAGCGACCGAACCGTATACAATAATTCGTCGCTTTCTTTTTGAACTCATGTCAGTACGATATCACTGGATAGAAATGATTGAGAAGTAATAAATTTAATATTTCCTTTGCCTAGGTTATACTTAAATATACTTAGAACTGAGAAAATATTGCAATTTTGGGACAAAAAATTCTCGACGTACGTGGCATGTCATTTCAACGTAAGAGGTTAATCACTTGCGCTGGCAACTGCGGACCATAACGAGCGACCGAATTGCATACAATAATTCGTCGCTTTTTTTTCCTTTTGAACTCGTGTCGGTATGATATCACTGGATAGAAATTACTAAGAGACAATAAATTTACCATTTTTTTTTTTTGCCTTTGTTACGTTTAAATATACTTAAAACTGAGAAAATGTTGCAATTTTGGGACAAATATTCTCGACGTGTGTGACACGTCATTCCAGCGCAAAAGGTTAACAACTGAGAATACAAAATGTTTTCTCTTTTCTTATTCTCTTCATTTGTCATTCTAAATCAGCGTCGCCGCCATTAACTCGTTTTTTTATATATTCGCGCGTAACATAAACATATTACGAGATTTGACAATAACTATTTACTTTAATTAACGCATAACAAGATTTTTATGACGACCGATTTTTGCTTCGATTGATTATTAACCACTCGCGCTTGGCAACTGATTGCGGACCATAACGAGCGACCGAACCGTATACAATAATTCGTCGCTTTCTTTTTGAACTCATGTCAGTACGATGTCACTGGATAGAAACGATTTAGAAGTAACAAATTTATTATCTGTTTTGCCTATTTTGTTTTATTAAATTATACTTAAAACTGAGAAATATAATTTTGGAACAAAAAATTCTCGACGTGCCTGGCAAGAAGTTAAAGTAGATATTGCATAGAATGAAAATTCTAGGAACAATAATGGGAAGAAGAAAACTTGGGAATATCGAATATAGAGCATAAATTCAAAGAACGATTTCATCGACCAAAACAATTTTTAACAACGTGAATTAATCATCGGATAAAGAGCACTCAAATACGACAGAATGTAATCATTTTTATAAAAATGAATCATATGATATGTCTCTAGGGAAAAATATATGAAAAATTCGCGAATCAAGGGCAATCAAACCATACGTAGAATGAAATTTTCGTATTAGAGAAATATTCGAAGATAGAAATGTCGAGTTTCCGAATGTCCTCGAATATTACTACCTCTCGATAAATCTTTTACCAATTTCGTAGAAACGTGCGTCGAAATTCTGTGTCATGGTCACGCTTCGTTATCTACGTAGCATGTACTAGCACGAAGAATCTTTCTAACGACTACCGTACTGTCGTTTTCGGCTACTTGCCGATTCACAGGATTTATGGTGACGCGGCGATCATCGATCGATCGCGTTGAATCGATTTATCGACTGCCAGTAGCATCTTGCCACGAATATCGGCGCGCAACGATGAAGAACGAAGAGAATTCGAAAAAGTATTTCAACAAGATCCGTCCTTGTCCCTAATTAGGTTGATTCATATGCGTGTGTGGAGACAAACATGGGAAACGGCGGCGTTTAAATATCCCCGTAAATGTACAAGACGAAACTGCTGATTCGATCGTAAATGCATGTTCCTAGCGATTGAACTAGTCAGATAGGTCTCGAGAATAATATACTACAGAGAACATAAGTTTTCGGAATAATATCGAATCGAGGATGCAAGTTTTAGGATCGCGTGAGAGAGAGAGAGAGAGAGAGATTTTCGGAAAAATATCACATGGAACGCAAGTTTTAGGAAAAATATGAATCTTGGGAATAATTTTGCGCGAAACACAAGTTTCACGTATGTAATATCTTATAGAACGTAAATTCCGTTCTACGAGATATTAAATATTATTAATATATTTTAATATTATATATGTATATTATTTTATTTATATATGTATATTACCTTATATTATTATATATTTATTATATATATTATAATATTATATTATTAAATATATATTATTTTATTTATATATGTATATTATATTATTGTATGTTTATTATATATATTATATTATATTATTATATATTTATTATATATATTATAATATTATATTATTATATATATTACTTTATTTATATATGTATATTATACTATATTATTATATATTTATTATATATATATTATAATATTATATTATAAATATTATTAATATATAATAATATTAATATTCTATTCACTTTCTAATTATTATTCGCATTATTACTATTGAAAATATTATTGTATCAATGTTGAAACTTAACATACATGAATCTCATGGATGTTGATCATCGAAATGAAGAGAAAAACGAAGAAAAAAAAAAACTCAAACTCGCTAATTTCCCATCTAATTTATTACATCGTTCGTCGTGCCGCGTTTAGAACCCAGACACAATTACCACGTGTACCATTTACATTTTACAATCAGGTACGCAAAACGATTTCGTCCATTATTCATTGTCGGAAAGCATTAAAGGCGAAATTACCTTCGTTTGACGCGATTTGTCGCGTTAAAGAGTACAGGCACACTCCCACAGCCGGAGCCTAACCGTGGCTCATCAATTATCCGTACGTAATACGACGAAGGATAATAAACTGCGTTAAGTAACGTTTAATTCGACGTTAGATACTGCCGATCGCAGTCTACGCCGAGCAACGATTTAATCTCATTCACGTCGCGTACCCGTCGCGAACTAAGAATGGAAAAACCGCGGTTATAACAAACTCTGTAGAGATGGAAATTATCGTTCGCCTGTCTTGCGACAATTTACCGTGGCGCAATTTGAGAAACGAAAAAAGAAAAAAAAAGAAAAAAAGAAGAGACACGTCTGCCACGTTGTCGCAAGATTTGTTTCGACAACTCGCTCGTTATCTAAAAAATATTACGCTGACATTTACGAGAGACGTTCGAGAGAGATTCATTTCGCCGAGATCAAAGATCCATTGCAAATTGTTCTGGTAGCCGTGAGAATGTGCGAAGATTTATTATTATTAGGCGTCGTTTCTACGTGTGACACATTTTAATAAGATTTTCTAAGATTTGAAAAAATTAACATATTTGCAATCACTTTAATTTGCATCAGTAATCTGCGTGTTCGTAATTACTTTGTAATTATTAGGATTGAAATTACGAATTGAACGGCGACTATTATTACTTGTATGTATTTTCACAATCGCGCACTCTGTGTTTAAATATAAAATAAATATAAATATAAATATAATATAATTATAAATATAATTCTAAAAATAAATAAATATAAATATAATATAATTCTAAATATAATTCTAAATATAAATATAAATATAAATGTAATATAATTATAAATATAAATATAATTAAATATAAATTTCCCCGGGTTCAAATATTTTATAAATAATAATAATAAAGACTTTTCTCTTTTTTTCAATTTTCCTTTAAGAACAATTAGAGTATAGAATAACAGTGGTCAATCTTGAAAAGATTTCAACCATCCTACATAATAAAAACTCGTTTAATTTGTAAAGTTTATAAGTTTCCCTTTTAGTTGCCTTTTACGACACGCAGGGACCTACATTGGGCCCACAGGGGAAATGATTTATTACTATTATACATACTATTATAAAGTTGACAAAATCTTCCATTTGAAAAACGTATAAAAATTCCCACTAAACACCTTTCGTATCACCGTAGGTATCGCCAGTCCCCGGCAATCGGTCGGAAACCACGTGCTCCCAACCCCAACGAAAGCTGTATCGACGCTGATCAACCACCTGCGTCTCTCGCCGGAAGCCCACGAGGGTCTGACCAGCCTGTCCGGCGTATGGTCGGAGCTGATACTCCGCGACATCTCGTCCACGGTTCACCCGTCGAGCAAACAGAACGTCTGTTGCGCCGGGAGAACGAAGCACCCGGAATGTTACGAGATCCGGGACGAGCAGACTGGTACATGCATAGAGTACCTGCGCTCGGTGCCAAGTCTGACCGTGCACAGGTGTAACTTCGACACCAGGGAACAGATGAACGGAGCGTCGTCATACTTGGACGGTTCGCACATTTACGGATCGACGGACGAACAGCTGCATCGAGTGAGAACGTACAGCCAGGGAAAAGTGGACGTATCCGGGTGCGAGGCGTGCAACAACACCGAGGACAAGGCTCTGGGGATGATGTACTCCGTTTTGTTGAACGAGCATAATCGGTTAGCGGGCGAACTGGCCAGAGCCAACGAACACTGGGACGACACGAAGTTGTTCCTGGAAGCTCGTCGGCTGGTCGTCGCGCAGATCCAGCACGTCACGCTGAACGAATACGTGCCAAGCATTCTCGGCGAGGGCGCTCGAACTGATCGGGAACTGATGCCTGTTGCCGCTGGCTTCTACAACGGGTACTCGTCCTCGAACGTCGGTGGCACGTACGATGCGGTCGCGCTCGCGGCACTCAGCGCTCTGACGTCGCTGCGTAAACACACTGTCGACGAGGCCACGTGCTTGGAGGACCACGTGACCGCGTCAGCCAATCGCGTGAGCCTCGACACGAGCCAGTCCGCTTTCGAGCCGCGCGTCGACGTGAACGCGCGCCTCGTACACGTGGGCCGCGATCACGGCATTCCTGGGTACGTCAGGTTCGTCGAGGACTGTTCCGGACACAATTTTACGGTAGGTTCATCGTTTTATTAACGCACCGTTGAGTTAACTCGTGTATTCACTTGCATCAGCTATTTTGATTTTTCACACTCTGGGTGATACAGGATATTGTGAAATCTTCCTTCGTCGTGTTCACTTTATTATTTAAAAAAAATTACTTTTATTGGTATTTAGGTTTTCATCGCAATTTTAGTGTTATAAAAATTTCAGTCATGACGAATCGCTATTTTGATTTTTGACACTTAGAGTGAAATCTTCCTTCGTCGTGTTCACTTTATTATTAAAAAGAAATTACTTTTATTGGTATTTAGGTTTTTATCGCAATTTTAGTGTTACAAAAATTTCAGTCATGACAAATCGCTATTTTAATTTTTGACACTTAGAGTGATACAGGATATTGTGAAATCTTCTTTCGTCGTGTTCACTTTATTATAAAAAGAAATTACTTTTATTGGTATTTAGGTTTTTATCGCAATTTTAGTGTTACAAAATTTTCAGTCATGACGAATTGCTAGTTTGATTTTTGACACTTAGGATGGTACAGTATATTGTGAAATCTTTCTTCGTCGTGTTCACTTTATTATAAAAAGAAATTACTTTTATTGGTATATAGGTTTTTATCGCAATTTTAGTGTTATAAAAATTTCAGTCATGAAGAATCGTTATTTTGATTTTTGATACTTAGGATGGTACAGTATATTCTGAAATCTTCCTTCGTCGTGTTTACTTTATTATAAAAAGAAATTACTTTTATTGGTATTTAGGTTTTCATTACAATTTTAGTGTTACAAAAATTTCAGTCATGACAAATCGCTATTTTGATTTTTGACACTTAGAGTGAAATCTTCCTTCGTCGTGTTCACTTTATTATAAAAAAAAGCACCACATACGTATCTCTGTCAAAAGGAATACAAGTCAAGAAACGCCCTTACGATATTCAAACGTCTGATGTAAAATCAGACATCAAATTTTGATTCGTTCGAAATGTACATCACTGGCCTATATAATTTTTACTAAAATTTAATTTATACTCGTGATATATCCTAAGATAAAAATCTTCCAAAATTAAATAAAAAAAAAAACATTGTAGAAGCATGCTTCTCGTTTATTCGCAGATCCAGAATTTCGAGGATTTGGAACATTTTATGCATCCCAGACACGTGAGCCTCTTGGAGTCTGTATACTCGCAGGTGGAGGACATCGATCTGCTTCTCGGTGGGATATCAGAAACACCGAGAAACGGGGCAACGGTGGGTCCAACGTTCGAATGCCTTCTCAAGAGGCAATTCGTCAAGATGAGAAACTCGGATCGATTCTGGTACGAGAACGACATTCCACCGTCCGGAATGACCTCGGCTCAACTGGCCGAAATTAGGAAAGTCACCCTGGCTGGTATTCTCTGCGCCAACACGAAGATCAAGAAGATTCAGCCGAACCTGTTTATCCAGCAGGATCCGTATCTGAACGCTAGAATCAACTGCGACCAGCACAGCGTTCTCGATATCGCTCCGTGGAGGGAGGAGCCTCTGCCAGATGAGCCTGCCAAGGAAGTGGCGACCGGCAGCAAGTCCGGCGTGATCCCGGAATTCGTGCCAGAGCTCAGTCCAAGCTTGATAGCGGCAGCCGTGAAGAAAGCTGAAGCAGACCTGATCGAGAGGAAGCAACTGGAGTACAATTCGTGGCTGCAGCAGAGGATAGCTGATCCTAAGTCGCCGGCTGGAACGGCTGCCAGTTTCTCCAAAGCCAACAGGGACGCACTCTTGTTGGCCAACTCCTCGATCATGTACGAGTTGGCTACCAACGAGATTCTGAATGGCATTCACGGCCTGAGACGCAGGAAACGTCAGATCTTCGACACAACGGACAACGTCCTCGGCTTTCCCAACAACGACTTCTCCGACTTGCTGCAGAACGTGGATATATCCGGGTTCCTGTCTCAGAAGAAGCCTACCAATCACGACGAGGTCGAGTGTCCCGTAGACGACAGCCCTTGCGATCCAACTAGTCCGTACAGGACGTTGTCGGGGCATTGTAACAATCTACGCAACCCGAATCTTGGGAAATCGCTGACAACGTTCGCGAGATTACTCCCTCCGGTGTACGAGGATGGAGTTTCGAAGCCCAGGAGCACGTCTGTCACTGGAATACCTCTGCCAAATCCCAGAGTCATCTCCACAGTGATCCACCCTGATATCTCGAATCTTCACAATCGATACACCTTGATGGTCATGCAGTTTGCTCAATTCTTGGACCACGATCTGACGATGACGCCGATCCACAAGGGTTTCGCTGAATCCATACCTAGCTGCCGTCCGTGTGACTCTCCTCGCACGGTTCATCCCGAGTGCAACCCGTTTCCAGTGCCACCTGGTGATCACTATTATCCTACGGTGAATGTGACTTCCGGCGCGCGGATGTGCTTCCCATCCATGAGATCTTTGCCGGGTCAACAGCACCTGGGGCCTCGAGAACAGATCAACCAGAACACCGGTTTCCTGGACGGGTCCGTCATCTACGGTGAAAACACTTGCATTTGTAATATCCTGAGAGGGTTCAACGGTCGTATGAACATCACTCAGAATCCACACAGAGGTGGCAAGGACCTCCTACCGCAATCACCCACGCATCCAGAGTGCAAAGCGAAATCCGGTTACTGTTTCATCGGTGGCGATGGCAGGGCCTCAGAGCAGCCAGCGTTGACCGTCATGCACACGATGTGGATACGGGAGCACAACAGAATCGTGGAGTCGCTGCGGCAACTGAATCCACACTGGGACGGCGAGAAACTGTTTCAGCAATCTCGTCGTATAATCAGCGGCATGTTGCAGCACATCACGTACAACGAGTTTCTGCCGCGGATTCTCGGTTGGAACGCGGTCACCCTCTACGGGTTGAAACTTCTACCTCAGGGTTACTACAAGGAGTACTCGCCTACATGCAACCCGAGCGTGCTCACGGAATTTGCAACCGCTGCTTACAGAATCGGGCACTCGTTGCTGAGGCCGCACTTGCCGAGAATGGACCGTAATTATCAGAGCATGGAGCCCTCTATCTTGCTGAGGGACGGGTTCTTTGATCCCGACATGCTCTATCAGAAGTCGATGATGGATGAAATGATGCGAGGCTTGATGGCCACACCTATGGAGACCTTGGATCAATTTATAACCGGGGAGGTTACCAATCATCTGTTCGAGATCCGCGGTATTCCGTACTCGGGGGTGGATCTCATTGCGCTCAACATTCATCGCGCCAGGGACCACGGTATACCGTCGTACAATAATTACAGAGCTCTGTGCAATCTGAAGAGAGCTACCACTTTCGAAGATTTGTCGAGGGAAATGGCACCGGAAGTTATAGCTCGGATGAAACGCATTTACGCGTCGGTGGACGACATCGACTTGTTCCCCGGTGGTATGAGCGAGAGACCTCTACAAGGTGGGCTGGTCGGGCCTACGTTCGCTTGCATAATCGCGATACAGTTCAGGCAGTCGAGGAAGTGCGATCGATTCTGGTACGAGACCGACGACCCCAACATCCGTTTCACCGAGCATCAGCTCGCGGAGATTCGTAAATCCACGCTGTCCAAAGTCATGTGCGAGAACATGGACGAGCACAACGAGATGCAGCGAGCGGCGTTCGACTTGCCGAGCAACTTCCTCAATCCGCGAGTTCCCTGCAGCTCAATGCCACAGATGGACCTGTCCGCTTGGAGAGAAACGAGACACGGCTGTCAAATCGGAGGGAGGAACGTCGCTCTCGGAGAGTCTGGTTTCCCTACACCCTGCACTAGTTGCATCTGCACAGCTGAAGGAGTACGTATACGTCACTTTTATTAAAAAAAAAAAAAAAATAACATGTCGTTTGTTTCTACACGTCTTACGAAAATGACGAAGATCTGAGAAAACAATTTTTTCTTCTTTCAGACTCAATGCGCTTCTTTGAGGATTACCGATTGTAATCAGCTTCTACGCGAAGCTTCTCGAGAGGCGATTTTACGTGACGACGTGTGCACGGCTCAGTGCGGCTTCGTCCTAGCGGCGACAGAACCGACCTCGAGGCTTCAGCAGTTCACCACGCCGAACAGTTTTCCCGGTTTCGTGCCACACAGAAACAGCTTGAGAAGCGTGCAGACGCCAGTTTCGTTCAACGGTTTCAAGTTACCCGATCTCTCGCAATTTATTGGCTGAGAAAGAGAGGAGAAAGAAAGAGAGAGAGAGAGAGAGAGAGAGGAAACGTTCAGAAAGCAAAGACTTCTCGTGTAAACTTATCGCTTATTAATTGTCACACGCAAGAGACTCACTGCCTTCCTTCAAGAGACTGCACAACGTAACGAGCTGCGCTCATCGTTGACGATCGAACAATTCTCTCTGTACAGAAATCGCGAAACAAGAATCACCGATGAACGCGCGTCACTGCCAGCTCATACACGTTTCGATGCTAATCATCCGCGAAGAGTGTTCCAGAATTAAAAAATTCACACGTGTATTACGCATTCGACTATATATTATGTATTGTTTTAAAACACGGCACTGTCTTCTCACTTCTCGTAAGAGATATTTCTCATGTTTCCTTTCTTTCTTTTTTTTTTTTTTTTACTTGTTATGTTATTATTATATTTTGTAGATTGTAAGGTGTATTTAATTTACGCGAGAAGGCGAATACTCGGTAACAAAAATGTAAAGGGGTCAGTACACGACGTGCTCTTACGTAATAAAGCTGTCATTGGCAGTTCGAAGGAAAAATTGTACAGTGATCTCGCAATACGTAATTCTCGCAGTGTGAAGAGGACTTCAATAAATTGTCACGCTACTTGACGAGATAGTTAGACAAAAGGAATACACAAGTGAATATTTTGATAGATGGATGAGTGATATATGTGTATCATGGGCTGGCATTTGAGCCAGTCGAGGCCGTTTTTGTACTTGTATAGTAATTATAACGCGAAAATAACAAATGCGAACGAAAAATTTAATTCTGAGTTGTCTTTTTTTTTTTTTTTGTCATTACACCTCTATCTAATTTTGTAGTATAATAGTGACATGTATAACGTTAATAAATGTTAATGTTTCCTTTTTTTTTCACTTTTTTATAATAAATAAAGAACAGAGTCCCACACTTCCATGGCTATTATATCAGACTATAATGATAGTTGGTCCGCTTTTGAGTTTTCATCAGAAAACAAGGCTGATTTGAGACATTGTTTTATACACAGATTTGATATTTATAAAACATGTGGCAGACATCAGCCGATTAAATACAATTTTAATACGAGTCATCGTCCTTTGTTGCTTCATTTGCATATTTCTATTAACGAAATATTTTTTCCCCTTGTTTCTTTTTTTTTCTTGAAGTACTTTACACAATTTGTAAATCGACTTTTAACTGGCAGGAACTTCTTGTTTGTTATTAAGCACAGCAGTATTTTCTTGTATCGCAGGCGTTTGTTCTATGCATCGCCAAAGGCCATACGTTTTGCCAACAGTTGTTTGCCATAATCTCAAGGTACCATCTTCCGAGCCACTAGCGTACAATTCACCATCCGGCGAGAAACGTACACAGTGTACAGGTCCAAAGTGACCTTTGAATGATTCTGAAAGTAATTTTAAATGCTTGTAAATACACGAACTACAAAGAGACATAATTATTCGCTTACATTGTAAACATACCAATTTCTGTACCCGTGGCATAGTCAAACTTGTACATTTTTAAATCTTCCCCGCCACATACAAAAATACTACAGTCTGGATGCAAACTAGCGCTGTTCATTTGCGTCGGCGCAGTGTATTCACATAACTTGGTTAATCTGCACAAACAATTACAATTTTCCTCAAGTGCTGCACAACAAATAATGAAGGAACATGAATAAAAGATATATGAAACCCATTAAAATGTAAAGTATTACACTAGAAAGTACTTCCTAGCGGGCCAAGGTTAACTTGAAGGTTCTGTAGCAAATCCATGTTCAGGATATTAATCAGTACTAACTGATGCACAAGAGGATACATTACATCACTTGAACCTGTTTTGCTATCTTTTTTTTTTTTGTATT